TTCACCCTTCTTTTATTACAAGATATGAGCCCCAACTTACAAGTTAATGAACATATAAAGAAAATAGGGCATAAAGCTTTTGGGACAGGTAGCTTCAGGTGGGGGAAAGGGATAAAATCCCTCTCTGCTACGTCCTGGACCTAATCTAGATTAGGGGCCCCATGGCTGTTGTTACTTAAAACATTAAGAGATTAGCAGCCATGGAATTCAAACATGTGTCAGTTATGCCTGGTTTTAGTTTTATTCATTCTCTTTCAATTAGTAACTATTCCCAGCAACCCTTTCTTTACTTTCCTTGCAGCATATTATTTATTTAGCGCCAACAGTCAATTAAGGATATTTTTTTCCATATTCTACTTACTATTTATTAAGGTTACAATGATATGTATATCAGAGCAAGTTCCGTTGAAATCAATTGAACTTATATCTAAATATATAAACATAGGACTGCAGAACAAGCTTATCCAAAATTAAGCTTAAAACAAGCCAAAAATATCAGGTGAATGTAATCTTTATTGCGGTCCAAAAACCTGTAACACAGATTCAGAATAAAATGCAGATTCAAACAGACAACCCCCTGGAAGAGGGAGACCGAGACGATATTTGTTTAATCTTAAGTATGATGATTTTTGATACATATGACTGCCTAAAGAAACTTTGCCACGGCCACTGTGATATCATTAGACTTGTCATCCAGAAGATATTTAGTATAGTAGGCTTCAGATTTACCCAGCCGATTTGCCAGTAGGGGTTTAATCAATAGATCCCTAGCTTGCTCATATTGTTCGCAATGCCTCATACAATCGACGTCCTGAGAGCATACACAGAGCCTATTTTGATAAGGGATGCCTCTCAGTCTGCCATTTAGAATTTCTGATGGAAATACATTTAATCTGGCTTTGGTAAAGAGATGCCAATAAGTTGGTACAGACAGATTTCTAAGGTATGCAGGTATCTGAAAATTGTACCCATAATGAATTCCTACTGCTATCAGGCCACAGATAACATGAGATTGAGATTAGGAGATCGCTATGTGATATGTCCCAGAGCCTTTGCCTCGGAGATTCAAGGGCGGTATCATAGCCCAGATGGTACAATAGAGAAGGCGGCATTCAAATCGAAGTGGCTTTTCTGACCATAGTTTTCATGCATGAGCTGATAAACTCCTCGTTGGTTAGGTGTGGGAGTAACCCCTTCCCTAGGCCAAAGACTGAGATCTTGAGCCAGTATCTCAGGGCAGCCCACCATGCTTTACTTGAAAGGGGGCATATCAGGTGAATGAGAAAATGTCTGAATCGTACGAAAACTGAAGGTGAGTTGATTTATAATCAGCCTCAGTTAAAGTAGAATAAAATCATGCACCACAAATCATGAACCCTGCATTATTTATAAAGATTCCTTAAATAAATTATTTTTTTAGTCAATTGTCCCTTAAGTATCTAGGATAGAGACAATACTTCAAACTCTGTAACTCTACCTCCAAAGGTGGTAATTAATCTAGTACACTACTAAATTTTATCTGAATCTATATATGTAGTAAATGTGCAAATTTCCGTTTATTCTAAAATCAATGTATTGGAGCCAAATACATCTTGTGTGAGTGAAAAGGCATTTCTACTCAAACAAGGTTTCTCCTGAGTTCTGCTGATGTAGCTCCCTATGCCACACCTGACACTGTTGTGGTGCAGGTTCACAGGTGGTGCATGGCATTGCAATGAAGAGGATGGGGGAAACTCTGAAGCCCTTCATGAAACCAGACCAAAGTTTTCAATAGAAGCACTCTGTTATCTGTGAAAGTTTGTAACTCAATTCCATCAATCTTAATGGAACATCTTCACATAAACATACCACGATTTATCTTAAAGGAAGGGCAAACAGCTTCTCAATTTAAATAGCTAGGAACCTTACCTTTAAGACCCAAAGAGTTTAACTGGTAAATGCAAACTATGAAACTTCAAGGCTATAAAAACTGTAAAATAATGTAGTATCAGGTGCATGATCACATTTCAAAAACTCTTCTCTCTAGTTTTTGCCTTGGATTTCATGTTCTCTGATCTTTGGTGTGTTGTTTTTTTTATTTGTCTACAGTGAATCCAAGGGTTTTTTCCCCTCCCCAAGGACTTTTTAAAAACTGACTTGCAGTTCATGCATGACCTACCACCAGCTGCAGTGGTTAAGAATTTAACTCGGGAGATTGCACATATTGTAACTGGAGACTCACAGCAGTCTCTGAAGAAGAGATCAGTGATATTCAATATAATAAAGTATACTTTTATGTTTTCAAAAAACAAGCAGTTTTTCTGGTATGATGAGGAAAAGCTAGATGAAAGAGCTAAATAATTCTTGTTCTATTAACACATGAATTTATGGAGTAAAACCAAATTTAGTTAAAAATTACAACATGATGATGGCGATGATGATAGTGATAATATATTGATATGTTTAACTTTTACACTACCTATTTATTACAATTATCTAAATTCATAAATTAGTAAACATTGAGCAGTGAGAAAATGTGATCAACGGTGCTTTTTATGTATATCAACAAGGTACCCTTTGGGGAAGGATGAATGCTCTCAAAATGAATAAAATTCCCAGATTTATTTATATTCTGAGAGGATTCCCACCTTTTATAAAAAGATCATATTTCCAAAAGTTAATCTCTTTGTTTAGGAAATGTTTTTGGGGATCAACAACACCGAGAATATCCGTGCAAAGAATGAAGTTACAAATTAAAGAAGGTGTTTTTGGAATTCCGAATTTGGAACTATATCACTCTGCCTATTTATTGACAAGTACTAAATATTGGAAACCCACTGTTGGTCTTAATTTTCTGATGTGGGCAACCCTAGAATATACACACCTTTAGTTGGTTAGACAATAGTAGGATCAAAATATTTGAAATCCCAGTTGACTCTGGAAACAACCAAGTCAGTTAAAAGGATATGGAATATATTGTCTATCAAAAACAAATTTGATCTATTCTCACATGCCAAAATTTCTTTGTGGGGAAATCCTACTCTAAAAATTTGGGGGAGGATATAGTGACATGGAAAAATTGGAAGGAAGCAGGTGTGTTGACTTTGGACCAACTAATAGATGAGCAAGATGAATTTTATACCAATGATGTTTTAATATACTCTATCAGATGCAAGTCAATGGCAATATCTTCAGTTACAACCTCTAGCAAGTGAGTTTGGGCCAGCAGCCCTCTCAGCTTCTGAGACACCTGAGATATTGGAACAATTTGATAACGCATTTGAAACTTAAAAGCCAGTGGTTATTTATTTATAGATATTTATTAATGATCACTAAGTTTCATACGTAGACTAAGAAATGGCTGGAATAAAGAATTGTAACTTTCAATATTACCTAGACAGTGGGAAAGGTATCAATGGACCTTAAATTGATACTTACACAACAAAAAAATAATGATCAGGATTTATATGACTCCTTTACATTTGTATAAAAAAGGACTAAGGTAGCTCTATGCTGGAGATGTGGCAAGGACAGTGCCTCTTTGAAACACATGTTCATACAACGTTCTAAACTAAATTTTGGCAGGAGGTGCTGGACTGTGTAAGTCCAGTGAAGCACCTACTGTATAGAAGTTAACAATGGGACAATGAAAAAGTATTATATGCACCCTAATGGTGGCCAAGCGACTGATACTGATGAAATGAAGCAATAAAGATACAATCCCCTTCAATCAATGAATTGACAATATGACAATACTCACAACTTATGAACGGACTGCTTATATATGTAGTCTTTGCTTGGATAAATATGACAACATTTGGAATGAGTTTATCCAGAATGTAGTAAGTTATTAATATCTACATATGTATTAGGATAATAACATCATATTTATTTATGTAAGAATGTATGGGGGTATATTACATTGTATTTTTTTCTGAACCTTTTTTCTTTCCTTATTTTTCTTTTGTCTGTATCACTTTATTTCTTTATATTTGAAATTCTTTCAATAAAATATTATTTGCAAAAATCAAAAGAACAAAGTACAAAGTACATCTTGTTTGGTGCTTCTACTATAAATGCTAATACTTATACAAGTCTACCACACAAATAGACAAAAATCACCAATGCCAACAAGAACAAATTTCACACAGTTTAAATAAAAATGCTCCTTTTATCCTAGCAATCGCCTGATATTCTGAGAATTTTATGTCACATAAACATCTCACATAAGTCAAAATCTATTCCAAGGTACACATTGAAAATCCTCTCTGCTCTATTCTTCCTTTACAAATAGGTTCTTAACCTTGGCTGGATAATGCACATAATCAATAGAGGAAACAGATTAAAAAAAAACCCCAACCCACATTATATATCTATTATACCCTAAAGTCAATTCTACTATACTATACAAATAGTAAAATTCTTCCTTAATTTGCTTTCATGAATAGGTTCTCCCTCAGTGCAAACAGTGGTTATCAAAAACACCATAGATGCCTTCAGTGTCAAGTTTTTAAAAAGCTACTCCTTATGTATAGTCACATGCCACACGCACAATGTACGGACTATGGTATGAGCATATGAAGGCTCTGAATTTTCCAACAATACATGGGAAAACTTGACAAGATGTCTTGATAAAAAGAAATAAATAGGCAGTGATGCATATATAAAATGACAGCTATATTTTGACATTAGGCGCAACAAAACCAAATTCAAAAGGACATTATACTTGAAGGAAAGATTAGGCTTCTTCCATGGTAGCACCATTCATGATTACATGAACCACAACGTATCTTAGTGCCAATTGCGCATTATGTATGGCCACTGCACTGAATACATGTGCATATAAAAGACTAAGAAATAGGAACATTTCTTTTCAGCATTCCCACATACTTTATGGGTAATTCAAATTTAACAGATCAAAGTATATAGGAATGCTTAATGGAAAATGTCCTTATTTCTATTGTGAATCAAAGTAACTACACATTATCTCATGACATTAAGATAGTGTAGGGGTTACTTACGTGCTACTTCCAGCGAAGCATTACGACTCACAGCTTCTCCTAGATAGTTCCTTGCAACACATACATAACTTCCTTCATCTGGTTTACTCCTGCGTCCATGTACGATTCGTAAGAAAAATAAAGATCCACTAGGGAGCAGCATGCGGTGTGAGCGGGGATCATCTTTGTCAGTCTCCACACGCTCTCCATCTTTATACCACTCAATAGTGGGAGTTGGCCTTCCTTCAGCTTTGCAGTTCAGAGTCGTTGGCTCTCCTTTAGAAACGATTACATCTGACGGATGCTCTACAATTCGAGGTGGAAAGTCCTCCTGGCGAAGACGAGATCCTAGGGACAAAGTGCAAGAAAGGCAAATCATCAGCAAGTTATTTTTTTAAACTCACTAGTTTCTCTAAAGCATTTCTACACTAGAAATAAAACAGATGCTTTCAAGAATATTTTAGGCTGAAAATCTAGCCTGCAAACACTTTCATGGGAGTAAGTACCACAGAATTCAACATGTCTAACACCTGAATACAGTCGTTCCTCGTTTTGCGGCTGGGATCTGTTCCGGAGCCCGGACGCTAGCCGAAAAGGATGCAGGGCAAAGTGCCATGTCTGCACGTGAAGTGGTTTGCACTTCTGCACATGCGGCAAACCCGGAAGTACCCCATTCCGGTACTTCCGGGTTTGCCACGGACGTTCACCAGAATGGAAACTAGACAAGGCGGACATTTGCAGAGGTATTACTGTAGCTGTGTTCAGGACTGCACTTATTTGCCACATTGATACAATCATACACAAATACCTCAAGGTCAGAAAGTTGCTCACAAGTATATAGGAGTGCAGCTGGCACTGAACTCAAAACAAAAAATTTGTGTATATATTTGGGAATAGGGAAAACTACATACAAAGCAAACAATCACTAGGTGAAACCCACTTTCCCCAGCAACCCTCTTTATAGTCTATTTCGTCACATACCCCTGTAATTAATACATGATAGAAACTAGACAGCACCTTCATAGCAGTCTCTCCCAAATATCAGAGACTAGGAATGAGTGGTGGTCTCAGCTACTACTATCTGACAGGCATGCCCACTTCTAATAAATATTTGGTTTCTAGTATTAGACTCGGTTTTCTGAATAATGCTAGTAATATTTTAAGTGACTTCAACTAAGAATCACATTTTTTATTGATATTTGAAATATGTATTGTTCATATATCCTTGCGGACTATGGGCTAGCCTAATCATCAAGCTTATTGTAAGGTGCATTAACTTGATATGTACACCCCGGCTGTTGCTAACCAACTCTCTATCAAGACTCTTATTTTGAAAGGAATGAAAATTGCACCACTGTTATCACACTTTTGCAGGATACTAAAAAAAAACCCCCACCACACTCATTTGCTATACAAGCAAGAATCTGCACCTATACACAAAAGCAGTAAGATTTCACATGAAAGACAAAAATAAATTGTTATGTTTTAACACTTATTTATAACCTACTCTTGCAGCCTGAAATGTAAACTGTTTTCATTGCATATTTCATTTATGAAAACTCAAACACATTATTTTTTGTTAAATGTATACTAAAAAGGCATTGCAAGTGGCTGTGCATCTTGCCAATTCAAATACTTAACCTGTATCAGAGAGAAAAGGTAACCATTTTATTCATTCTAATAAACTGCTTTTAAAAACCTTCGTGCATTTCCAATTTATTTGATAAAACTTTGGTTTATTAAACTTCCTTACTGGTAACATCTCCTGGAAACCAGAGATCTATTACATCTTAACAGCAATAAAAAAAGCAAGTTAATATGACCATAACTTCACATATTTTTCTAAAATATAATTAGATTCAATGATACTTAATCACAAGGGCAGATTGGCTCAAACATCTAGAAATTGACTTAAGGCATGCCCACTTGTCGCATCAAGGCTAAAATTAATGTTTTCTGAGTGGCTGTAACAGTTTTGGGAGAAATAGTACTTACCGTATTTTTTGCACCATAACACTCACTTTTTTCCTCCTAGAAAGTAAGGGGAAATGTCTGTGCGTGTTATGGAGGGAATGCCTACGGATGGCGAGGGGATCTGCTGCAGTCAGTGAGCAGAGGATCAATGGTTCCCCTTCCTTCCCTCCTCCGTGGCTCGCTTTGAAACAGCAAAGCGGGAGAAGAGCCGCTGAGTGGGGAGGAGAGAGCCTGCTTCTTTAAAGGAGCAAAGCGGGAGAGGAGAGGAGCCACTTACACGAGTGTAAGCGGCTCCTGTCTGGTTGGTTCCTTTAAAGCAAGCAGGCTCTCTGTCCCTCTCTCCTCCCCACTCAGCTCGCTACATAGCAGCAAAGTTTTTCAGCTCGCTAAGCCGGGGATGAGCGGGGAGGAGGGAGAAAAGCAGAGCCTGCTTGCTTTAAAGGAGCAAAGTGGGAGAGGAGAAGAGCCTTCTCCCCTTATACCCCTCTTCTGCATTATTAGCCGCATCCTTCTCCACACACCCCACGCATGCTCCTTGTCCCTTGAGTGCTTTTCCTTCCCTCCCCACTTAAAACGTGGTTACAAAGCATGGATCCACATGGATCCTCAGGATTTTTGCACTGGGTCACCCCAAATTCACCATCAGATCACATAGCATGTCCATGGCTACATCTTGCACCAAAAAAATCACGCATCCACTGTTGCCTGGGGCCGCAGTGGTGCAAAAACGTGGTTACAAAGCATGGATCCACATGGATCCTCAGGATTTTTGCACTGGGCTACTCCAAACTCAGTCAGATCACATGTCTGTGGCCACAGCATGAACCACAAAAATCATACATCCACTGTTTCGTTTAGAATATTTTTTTTCTTGTTTTCCTCCTCTAAGAATTACGTGCGTGTTATGGTCGGGTGCGTGTTATAGAGCGAAAAATACGGTATTTATTTATACCAATTCTAGACAACCCAGTCACCAAAGTTCCCTGGGCTGATTACTAATATTTGTGCAACCCATACAGCATCATAAAAAATCTTAGAGCTATATGAGAACTGATATTGTATGTTTAGAGTAGTTGTTACAGTTGGAAAATGCTGCCAGTCTGCTCAATACAAATATACCTTTTCTTCTCATAGGTTGAGTTCTGAAAAACCAACCTACACTGATGTAATGAACTGGCAGGACAACAGCGAGAAGGAAGGGGATCTTAGTGAGCTGGGACTAGGCCACACCAGGGCAAGCAGGGGATGGGGAAGGAAGTTCTCACAGGGTGATGGAGCATGGCGAGGGGAAGCAGAGCAGCAAGACGCATCACCAGAGCCAATGGGCCCCCAGTGTCCCACGAACTTAGCAGGCTCTAAGATATAGGGAGCAGCAAATTTGCATGTGCGAGGGAGGCGCTACTAACATACACACTTCATTCAAACTTCAATTCATTAATGCAGAAATTCATCAACTGAATGTTGTTACAAATTAAAAATGTGAATGTCTCCATCCCTATCTTCATATAAACACTTTTACTGATAACAGCCTTCTGCCATGCCAACTCTTTCCTTCCTGCTCCAAATCTGAGAAAAAAATAAACTTGAAGATGCCTTTTTGTTCCATTTTGTATCCAAAGGTAGCAGATGGCTTGCCTTGAGGGTGAAACTACTATGTTTTCCTTCCAACAATAAAAACCACATGCAACCAAAGTAGACAGTTTTCACTTGAAATCAACATCAACATATCTTTCAAATATGCATCTTTCACACTGATGATGCACGCTGAACTGGAGTGTTTTGGTTTTGTTGTGTATGTTTGTTGCCCTGTTTTACTAATGTAGCAGGATATCGTTAAGCTGTAAACCTATACCCACTTACCTGGCAGTAAATCCTATTGAACTCAATGTGACTAACTTCTTAGTAGACTACTTAACAGTGATGTAGATAGTGATGGCCTATAGTCATTAGTGGCAGGTGAGCTGTTCAGTTCAGGCATTGGACAGCTACTTGGCTCAGCAGCTATGTGGTAAGGCAGGGAATTGGTGGGACAACTACCATAGTCACCCTGTCAATCTGCTTTCCGGCAAACTTAATAGGTGGCACTGATAGGAACAGGTATAATAATAATAATAATAATAATAATAATAATAGGTTCCTTTATTCTTATTCTAACACCAGTTATGTTACAGCAGCTGGCACTGTGGAACCAAGTACCAACCCAACTGGCTCCAGCCATACTCATCTGCTGCTAACTTTGTTTTCCAGAGTGGAAACCACTCTGGGGAAATTAAGATAGTGACAGGCACAACTACTATTGTCCTGTAATTCTTGCTAGTGTAAAGCATCTCCTAGGGCTGTTGGGTCCTAAAGTCTCCTGCCCTAATGGCACCACTAACAGCAGTTCAACTTTAAATAAATGTAAATAACTGATTTTTAAGTTAACTGGTAAATCACACAGGCAGACAGAAAAGTTACCTGAATGGTTCTGTTCAGAATGGCACATTCATCATGCACTGACTACAGCATCAAGTGGTGAATTCCACACGTGAAATTTTCATGGATAAAGCATGTGTATTATCCAAAGTCAACTGGAAGTCTATACTTTTCAAATGCCATACTTCACATGTCCAGATGGAAGACATTAAATAATGGTTATACTTCTGGAAAATATACCTTATGACAGGGAACCAGTCAATGAAACTCTGACTACCAAGGAAACAATACACTTATGGAACAGGAATCTACACAGCCAAATCTACTGTGGAAAACTGTAGAAGCAGTGGTGCTAAGTTGCTATCAGCAAAGTCCTGGAGTTATGAGCTGAATATTTTTCCCAACACTGAAAGTCACTATCACAGTAATGCATTTTCTAGTCAAAAGAACCAAGTGTTACATATTAGTAAAGACAATAGTGTGCTAGGTAGAAGACAGCATATAGTTCAGGAAGATATAAAGTAACTTTTGAGTATTTGACAGTGCTCAACAATGAGTGCATCTCTAATATGGAGACACTACAACTTTACTGTGAATCGTATTTTACACTGAAAATGTCTTACAACAACTCTGATATGCCTAATTAGCTCAGATTACAGATCCCATTCAGTATCTGGCAGAATGCTCATCTGATGCCACTATTTAAAAATATCATTAGCATTACCAAGCGATTTCTAGATATGGTTCTGAATGTGATTCAGAGAAAACTCTCATGTTTTAAAAATGTAATGTGGAAAGCAGACTTATAGGGGAAACTGCATGACAGATGTATTCCAGGTGTTCTATACAAGCTTCCTCTGTGATTTGCTACAGTAAAACTGCCTTCATGTGCTGATTCTGTGCTTCCCAGAAAACTCTATGTGGTCATTGTGGGAATCAGAATGCTGAATGATATCACC